GAAGCAGAGGAAGAGGAAGACCTCCACTCCGTTGAAAGGACCAAGTGGAGAAGGACCTGGCTTCACTTGGAATATATAATTGGCGCCACGTAGCGAAAAGAAGAAACGACTGGCGCGCGGTTGTTAGCTTGGCTATAATCGCGTAAGCGGTGTCTGCGCCAATCAGGAAGGAGAAGTTGACAATAATTTATTTAACAAGAAATCTGATAGAGCTATTGATTATTTTATTAAAGCTTTATTAAATGCTTTTCTTGCGGCACAGATGTCCGAAGCTAATGTAGCGCACTGAGCATCGGTGGATGTGCCGTACGTTTTTAGAGCGGAAGAGGGGACAAAAAATTCAATATCTTTGGAATCGCATTAATGAATCAAAATTTTGTGGCAGATTATTAAAGGTAAACATTTTCCGCGTTGTGTCACAAACTTTTCAGTTTTTTAGCGTGATATAGAAAAATGTCAATTGTTTAACAAAAAACTATGTAAAATACTATTATTTAAACAGATGGACCATGAAAAAATAACTATATTATATACGAACATTTTTCTTTGATTTCTGAAAATTTCATTGATTTATCTTTAGCAGTTTATGAGAAAATAGTTTTACAATTTTATCATGGTCTAAATTTCAACCTTAAATAACTTTATCAAAAAAAGAAGAATTTTGACGAAATATTTATGACACGAGGTATGTGTCTTGTCCTTCACCTAATGAACTGCAAATTTTCAAAATCGGTGATTTTGCAAAATTTTCATTTAGCACTTGACGTGTATAAGAAAATCGTGTATCGTTTGACCGATGTATAAGAAAACGAGAAATCAAAATTGCCACAGTGAAGCAATTACATATATTGTATTTGAACAACAAAAATTACCTACCATTTACTTCCAGTGACACAGCTAAATTTATTTTCGGCTCTGTATTTACTTGACATTCATAAATTCCACTATCCCTTTTTTGTGCGTAATCGATTCTCAAGTCCCAATCATCACCGCCTGGCGGATGTAAGACGGAAAATCGTTGATCGCCAGTGTATGTATAAATGTTGGTAGTTAGAATATGAAGATCTCGTTTGCGCATCCATGAAACCTTAAAAATTAATATTTATACAAACAATTGTTAGTTAATCTATCTTCAATAATTAAATAAATCTGGGACTTCTTACAATATTTGTATTTATTTGGTTAAATGTTAAGTCATTCACATACCGTACGGTTGCCTTTGTTCCTAACACGGCATTTTAATATGGCGGGTTCGTCAGCGACTGTCGACACGTTTCGTGGGCTAATATCATCAAAATATGGACGCTCCATAGTTATGAAATCTGGAACAAATTTATTAAAAATATTAGTTACATTGGGCAATTAAAGATAAAATAGTTCTCATATTCGACGAGTTGGTCCTAGCAAATCGTGAGAACTCTGTTCTAATACAAAAGGTTCTTAATTCATTAGTTAGGTAATGTAAAGAAAGAAAATCTTGTACATGCATATTATGGCCGCAGAGTCTCTTGAAAGCTTGTTCAAAGCGCAATATCATGTTGTTCAATAAGATTTGTCATTTAATAAGAAAAACACAATTTTATGATTCAAAATAAACTTTATTATCTAGTACGATTTCCCAGAGCATTAATGCTTGCTCCAACGATCCTCCAATCAGTGAATCCCATCCCTAAAGTGAGAATCCGGAAGATATCCAATATATGCTTCAACAGCCATTATGACCTCTTCATTTTATGAAAAACGCTTGCCACGCATACATTTTTTAAGTTCTGGAAACAAATCGAAGTCGCTGGGGTCCACTAAATCTGGTGAATACGGTGGATGCTCCAACATTCGAAATTTAATTTATATATTTTAGCCATTGTAAAAATGCTCTTGTGACACGGTGCATCGTCCTGATGAAAAAGGATTTTTTCTTCTACAAACCGGATCTTTTTTCGCGGACTTTTTTCCTCCAACTGGTCCAAAAGATTGCAATAATATCCAGAATTAATTGTTTTACCAGTTTCAAGTAATCCAAAAACAAAATTCCTTTCGCATCCTAAAAAACTGATGCCATAACCTTCTTGGCCGATTGCCCGACACGAACTCAGTCCAGAGCCGAACAACCAGGCTCACACCACTCTTTAGCCTTTTGTTTTAATTCATGATCATGGTGATAGACCCAAGTCACATCCATTGTGAAAATCCACTTTATCCCTTTTAAAACGCTCCAAAGGTTGCTGAGACAGTCGCATTCGAATGTGTTATTGTTCCATTGTTAGCGAATGCGGCACCCATTATGCACACAGCTTTCTAAAACCAAAAATTTCATTTAAAGTAAGCTTCACATTGCCTAATGAAATGTGTAGAGCCTTTACTAAATCTCAATCAGTCAATCGACAATCTTCCATATTCTGTATTTTGGCCATAATTTCTGTTGTTAATGTGCTTTTTGGAGGTCCTTCACGGGGATCGTCTTTAAGGCTTGGTCGACCACATTTAAATTTATTTCTTTATTTATTTAAGTCTATGAACATTAATTCTTACAGACTAGTCGAGAAATTAGGATGCAAATTAGAACTCTAATAAAACTTAATTACAATTACATAGAGAGATAACTTAAAATAAAAAACAGAATTGAGGGTATTAATGAAAGATACCCTAGAGTGCGAAAAATCAAGAAGAACGTTTTCGGAAATCGAGTTAAACTCACGCATAGCACGCTTGAGAGGAGCATATTCAGCAATTAGTACTTTCTTTTTTGTAATAAAATGGGGAAATAGACCTGAGACAACGCTGAGGAGTATTGAAGTTAATTTTCCCTAATAAAGGGACAGTCCATATTCCCATTAATTACATTGAAAACAAATAAAAGGCAGAGAACAGACCGTCGATTATCTAGTAATTTAAGATGTAAAAGCAATAAACGAGATGTATGCGATGGTATGGGGTCGAAAAGTTTAGGTTGTTAAGGTAGGTAGTTAAGTTTAGGACGCAATTAGAAATATTGTAACTTGTAGATAAGATGTTACGTCCCCTACCATAAGAGATCTGAGAGCATTTATCGAGATTCAGAAAAAGCTTCGATTTCAGGCACCAATCATAAAAAGCATCAATATCACATTGAAGTTTGAATACATCTTGAGAGTTCTTGATTATTGCAAAAATGTTTAAGTCATCTGCATATAATAGAAAGTTAGCGAAAGAGAAGCAACGGGAAATGTCATTGATAAACAGCACAAAGAGAAGTGAACCCAAGACCTTGTTCCTTGTGGCACTCCCGAAGACGCAATGAATGAATCAGATGACACTCCATTGGCACTGACAACGCATCGCCTAGATATGATGCCTGCAGATATGATTCAATCCACTGCAAGAAGATCGAATGAAACCCTAAAGAAGATAGTTTTTTAATTAGAATATTGTGTGAAACTTTATCAAAGGCCATTAATTATTGATTTTACTCCAAAAAATAATTTGTTTTTAACAGAACACTCAAAAATTTTCGAAGCTGTAGAAAGTTTASAGATAGGCCTGTAATTGGAGACTACATCTTTTCTACCACCTTTAAGTATAGGGGTAATACGTGTCAATTTCTAGTCAGAAATAAAATTCCCAGAGGAGAGAGACTTATTGAAGATGAGCATGAGAGGATATACCAAGGTAGTACAATTTTTTATAAGTACAGGTGGAAGCCCATCCAAGTCCAATTTGGAGGAAGACTTAATATCACAAATAGCTTTGCCAATATCATCCTGTGAAAGACGCAGTGTGCCAAAATTTATGGAAGGGAAATTATTAGCTGAAAAAGTGGGACTATTACCAGGATCATCGTGGGTATAATTAGATTTGAAAAATTCAGCAAACAAGTTGGAGATTTCGCCAGGAGTGCATGCTTATCACCCCAGCGTAAAGCAGAAGGAATGAACACATTTTCCTAGATTTTACAAAGTTCCAAAGGACTTAGGGTTCGACTTAATTGTAGACCTCGTACTATTAATAAAACTTTTATGGAGAAACTTATCCAATTCATTAAACAGTTTTGTGTACTGCTGATAATGAACAAAGGAAACATGAGATTTAGTTGAAGAGAATTTTCTATAGTATTTGTCTCTAAGATTTTTTAAGCGTTTGAGGTTCTTGGTGTACCAAGGCAACTTATATGGTTGTATATGTTTGAGCGGGACATTATAATGACAAAAATCCTGAATGGATTTCTTAAAAATCGCGAAACTATTAGCTGTATCTAGTCCCGAAAGTAGATCATTACATTTAATCTCATCGAGGAGATTATTTAGTCGTTCAAAATCACAATATGCAAAATTAAAACCAGGCCCATCAGAAGGTTTAACAGGAGCGAAAAGATAAGTATTCACCTCAAATGCTAGCGGAGAATGATGAACGGTGGCTTTAGTAATTGTAGAGAATCCATCGAGAAACCTAAATTTTAAATTATCACTAAGAAACACTAAGTCTAGAAACCGATCCAGACTATTTGAATAAGAGTTGATTTGAATCAGATTGAGACTAAGCAAGCTATCGATGAGAACTAACTCCTGAGAAGACGATAAATTGGGACGATAAAAAGGGAATAAGAGCAGGACTATAGGAACAACTAGACCAGACGATATTGCTTAAATTAAAGTCACCCAGAACACAGATATTATTCTCTTTGACATTATTTAATACCAGCGAGGAAATATTATTTGCGTGCAACTTATACAACTCTCATTATCAAGCATAATTAAACGAGGACGATATTTGCGATGAACTGCTAGGAGAACACCACCCCCTCTTAAACAGCCAGTTTTTTCATGATCTCTGTCCTTACGGAAGACATAGTAGAGATTTGAGTTAAAATATTCATTATCAAAGTAACTAGAATTCAGCCAAGTCYCAGCAATAACGATAATATCGAAGTCCAAATGTGAAGCAAAGTTGCGAATAATATTTGATTTACACCTAATACCCGATAAATTTTGGTAGTACACCTTAAGACAAGACCCAGTTGAGGAATGTGCAGAAATCTCACGAGTAAAATGGTCATTAAAAGGCGCATCATCTAATCTACAGCACTGTTTGCYCTTCCCTTTGGAAAAAACTTGAAGAGACGCAACTTAATGCCAGAAGGCCACACTGAAGAAGAGAAAACGGCATTAAAAAAAGAGGGGGATACGCCTAACTTAAAATTTATATTCTTCAGATTATTAATATCAGTATCCTTCTTAATTAATTTATAACATAAAAGATGATCTTTCCCAACATTAACATGTTTAACAAAAAGCGATATAATATCTTCTTCAGTGACTGAGTTCTTAAAGGCAGACAAGTGAATGCATTTCTTAGGTATGACGACATCGAGACCACAATTGGCATTAACACCAACCACAGTTGAAGCAGCTGGAGATTTTTTGTTTTTAGTGTTCACATTTAACTTTAAACTTCCAATAGTAGTAATTGAAGTAGAAGAGTTCAGATTAACCGAGTCATCAAAGGCAGCTGATTGAGCAGCATTGACAGCGACAGAGGGGCGATCTGGTTTAGCAGCAACTGTTGTATTGTTTCTGCCTTTCGAGTGAGTGTTGATATTCCTAGCAACAGCGTCAGCAAATATATTAGTATAATTAACAGCATTGGGACAACTGCAGGTCGAGCCGCAGAAGCACAGTAATCCACGCCGACAGCAACGATGGACGGAGCTGTAGTTGTACTATTACCAGCAGCAATAGAAAAAGTGGAGCAACCAGCAGACGGAGCGGTGGTTGAAGCTGCAGAGAATGCTCTCAGTGTAGCGGGAGCGTGATACTTCACACTCACATTATCAGCAGAAACAGCAGTGTTAGACGGAGAAGCATTTRTATCAACAGCAGTCGCAGCAGTGAGAGTGGCGGAAGCAGTAGAGAGAGCATTCGAAGCTGGTGCAGAGAACTTGCCGTTATCGGTCAATTTCTTTTGTACAATGCAGATCTCTGATTTAAGTTCGTTAAGCATAACGATTAACGRATTTCTATCATCACATAATTGTTGTATTAAAGTGAGCGCCTTCGATTGTTCACTTCTCAGTGAACTTACTTCRAACACCAGAGAATTAAGCAACTCATTTACCTTATTTGGATTGTTAGGCTCCAACAAAGGTCCAGACAATTCGTTATTTGATTGTTCASCGTTTTGTTGTTGCGAATTTAAGATATCAGAACAATGAGCATTACGCACTGATGGCGACGCAGGCGGCGAACGGATAGAATTTCTCCGAGCTACCGCGCACACTTTTCAATAAAAAGCATTTTTGGATTTCAGCAAAAAATCCACATCTGCCTGTGATAAATTCATACACGTCAAGTGGAAGAATTGATTGCACTTATGGCAGCTGATCTTGGGCTGAGCGGAATCAACCCTATGACCGCAAACACACGGCATTAATATAGAATAAATAATAAAACGCGGAGCAGAGAAAAAATACGTCTGTTCACAGTGAAACACATTTGCAAACTATATGCAACTCATTTTCTACTGTTCTAATTGTAGGGGAGCAATTATTATACACTTTTTACATTCGTTGGTGACTTTGTTGTGGTACTGCACCTATAAAAATAAGAATTTTATCACTGCACGATATTAAATTTTTAAAAAAAAAAAAGTACTGTGACACGGCGACACCAAATGACTTTTAAAGAAAGAATGAGTTGACAGAAAGACAGAGAAAACAAAAACAAAAAATTGGGTTAGTAGCAACGCGCTTTCTTATCGAACGACAAAACTTATTGAACAACCTAATACACATTCACAAAAACAGAACCATAAAGACTCTTGTATATAATACATTCCTGGACATTTCTGGAGCATTTAATGCTTTCGTTTCTACAGAAGGTATTTTAAATAGTATTGAGCCAATATGTGTTGGTCGTAATATACAATGTTGGGTCAGAAGCCTCTAAATCTCTCGAAGAATAAGATAGAATGAAACCATCCTAGAATGACTGAGGAAGCCTATGATTGCACTCTACAGATAGTGGCATTAGCGGACGACATTGCTGAAATATGGAAGTATGAAAATATAATTTATTTTACGTGTATACTAGTTCAGTTATGACACAATTTCCGATGTGACGTCATACGCAAGTATGTAAAAATAATGATTTCTCTTGATATTTGATTCAACTTATGAACACATATATTACCTTTCCATCCTTATGTATAAATCACTTTATTTTGATAATTTATATATATGTAAACTTTACGTTGTTTAAAACTGAAATAAAATGCTCACCGTTCAAACTGCTCTGGGACGTAGATTGAATATGATTTAAATAAATGTGCAAAATCAGATACAAAAACGGTTGTAAACGAATATTATTTATTATTGCACTTATCATGCTGTCGTCTTCACCGTTTATTGATGATTTTTCGACACCAAATCCACATTTAGTCGATTATGTCCTTTAGAAACTGCAAGAATCAAACACTAATCATATTGATTATTAGTATAAACATATCTCAAATAAGAAAAACGTTAACATCAGTTACACCGAAACTACATACATATGCATGTATAATATCCTTCACAAATTCAAAAGATTTCTCCCAAGAATTTGGTTATGATCAGTCAGTTTGTATTGCAGATATATGCTACAGTGTTCCAATATCAACGGTTCCGACAAATAAGCAGCTTCATGAAAAAAAAAGAAAAGGAAATGATCGAAATTTCGCATCAATATCTCAAAAAGTGAGAGACTAATTCGCGCATATATGTACATACTGACAGAAGGACATGCCTAAATCGACTTAGATTAATTCATTTTTAACCGGTACGTACATATGTATGTATATATTTTACAGGGTCTCCCATGATTACTTCAGGGTATTACAATAATCGTGATCAACTTAATATATCCTGTTCAGGAAAAAAAATATATCAGTAAAGATTTATAATGATTTATAATATTGAATTATTTATTGGGGTAAAAAAATCATAGAAGTTATAACATTAATCAAATACTCTGTACTTTTATAGAAATATTTATATTTCCCTTACAATTCAACTTATAAAAGTGGGAAACGGCCACCTTCCTGAGGAGAGCATCTACTTGCATACCTTATATATGTCGCTGAGTTATATGATGCTACTTGTATATTTATGCACATAATGCCGACAATGCTGCCATTGGACAGAAAATCAATAATCGTGCTACTATTATTCTATGTACGTTTGTGATGTAGTGTCTTTTCTAATACATACAATATAGCCCTGACAGACGAGCAACATTAATGCGCCTTAAACAACGCTAATGCGCATTGAAACTTTATGGTGACAGACCACAGACTTGTGCATTTAGACAGCTGATAGTGAAATTTTTTTTATTTATAAATAATAAGATAAACTATTAATAGAAATTTTTTATTTTAGGAAAATCAATATAAATTTAACAAAACAACTTTTAACTACGTTAAAAGATAATAGAGTGAAATTAAAAGCAATAATTGATTGTAATGCGGATAAAGAGTGCGAAAAAGTTTAGAATATTGGAAAAATGGATATCAAATTGTGCGTTGTTTATTTTCTGCCATCTAAAAATATTAAAATTTGTTTTTGTTAATGTACTTGCACATAATTTAATTAGCAATATAGTATAAAACTGCTTACCTCTGATGCTGTAAACTCAAAGGAGCAGGCTTCAAGCGACATCTGTCAGAAAATAGCAAAAATCGGTCATTTTTGCGCAGTGTTGCCTACTCAAATTTGGTAAATTCAGCTAAATTCGTGAAATTCTTGTGCAAATAAATGTAAATTAAGCCTGCTAATGCATATTAGCACTGTCGTCTGTCAGGGCTATAAGCTCGCTAATGCATATTAGCACTGTCGTCTGTCAGGGCTATAAGCTCGCTAATGCATATTAGCACTGTCTTCTGTCCGGGCTATAATTTAACTTTTTTCCACTTTTTCAGTATGTGAAATAATGTGATGCTGAGTTAAATATATTTTTTCAAGCCTAAATAGCCTTGGTAGACGACAGACCTAATTTGCATTAGCAGGATTAATTTGCGTTATCTTGCGCATTTGATCAATGTTAATGCAAATTAGGAGTGCCTAAAAATTTGGTGCTTTTAGCTGTATACTCACAGTGTACAGCTATTTAGAATTTCGTGAACGAGTATGTAAACGTTTCCGTTCGTTCGAAACATCATTCAAAATAAAAAACAAATCGTAAAAGATAAATTTATGAAGATGTGAGCAAATTTTTTATTTTATTTTATATTTTATTAATAGAGAACAAATATTTTATTGCTAATTAAATTATTTGAAAGTATATTAACAAAAACAAGTTTTAATATATTTAGATGGCAGAAAATAAACAACGCACAGTTTGCTGTCCATTTTTGCAGCATTCTTAACTTTTTCGCGCACTTTTTTGAAGGCCCTTCTATCTAGGCGAAAGTTTGCCTTGAACCTATATTCATCCATTGCGGGGATATCGTGCTCCCAAAATTTACCACTTCGAACCTTAAAATACACAATTTTTGATTTCAATCCCCAGTTAAAATAGCGATTGTATTCCCGTCTCTTATGGCTGTGTTACAATCAAGTATAGTTTTTAATTGCACTTCATTATCTTTTAATTAACGTACTTAATAATAAACGAATTGTTTCGTTAAATTTATATTGATTTTCCCAAAATCCCAAAATTGTACTTTATGAATTTTTACTTAAAAATTTTTTTTTTTTTTAAATAAATAAACAAATTTCACAATCAGCTGTCTAAATGCACAATTCTGCCGTCTGCCATCATAAAATTTTAATGCGCATTAGCATAATGCCCATTAATTTTTCTCGTTTTTATATTTTCTTATGCCACACACATATACACATAATTTATTCACATCTTGGAAAATATTTATGAAATGCAGTAGATTGTTACACTAAGATTGTATGCTTCTTAGGCACACTTGGACAATTCGTATACCAAACAAGACTGGGAACCAGGGAAGTCCGCTTTCATGACTTTCTCTAGGGGTTCTCCTGTAGAGGGTGTCCAAGCATCATCTGTTGTCGTTCAATAGGATATTTTATACTTTAGAATCATATCGCTCTGTATGCAACTGTATCCCCCCGATACTGCGAAAGAATTGTAATACAAAGAATGCTCTAAGAAAAATAGCGTATCATCATTTTCGCCTTCCATTATGCTTTAAGTTTTCTGTAATCCGATATGTAAACGTCTAATTCGTATATACGAATTTTATGTCTCTGTATCGCACTACGCAAAAAAGACTGAGATGGTTGACGCTTTGGAAGAAACATACGTCCCTAATTGCTGCAAAAAGCGATCGAACAATAGGCCTCTCGGCTGGAATTTATTCAAGTCATCATTTGCAAAAAATCTCTTTAAAAACGTAAACCTAATTTTTATAATAAAGGTAAAGACTTGGCCATCGTATACATATATTACGCTGCATATATGGGTTTTTAAAAAATCAAGGCTTACCACCAAAAAATTATAATATTTCGTATTCTTTGCAAAAACAATGGTTTTGTGTAGCTAACGTTTAACTGTTCTTTAACATCTGCAAAAATTATAATTTTTTTCAGGTTTCCACTTACTTTGAATTCAACGTGATTCAGTCCGTTAAAAATATTTTTTCGTTCGTTTGGTACTATTGCGTTTGGTTTTATCAGCGTAATATGAAGTTCTAAAGTCATCGCTTTGAACTACAACAAAAATGAAATTTAGAATCGAGTAATACGTTAATACAAGTACAACGTATTGCACGAAATCAGTACTAGGGACTTACGTGAAATTTCTACAATAAAGCAGGACCTCAACTAATGATCAATGACTCAAAAGCGAAGCATTCTACAATGGCGTAGAAGTTTCATTCCAGATTCTACGAGGCAAATTTTTTATATAGTGATTGCAAGCTAAAGGAAATACTTGAAAAAATTTGTCATCTAACGAAATGTTTTAAAATTAATAGTTTTTCCCTCGAAGCATATAACGGTATTTATTGGAAATTGTTTTCCAAAAACTATACGTTCTACCTGAAGAAGCATCTGCACCAGGTAGAAAGAATACTAAAGAAAGCAAGTTGTTATTTCGATCATCGAACCCCCTTTGGATTGGCAAGCAACGAGTTAATATAAGCATCATTTTTAGAACAACATTTCCACCTCGGTTTGAAGAAAAACCCGTGCAATAGTTAGAGCCTTCTTAAGACCTGTTCATGTCTGGCGAACACGTTACGTGGCCCCATGCTGCCAATGCACACAAAGAACCTCTGATGACATAGTATCAGTTGGACGGAATTCTTGCTCTGATTGATATCATTTCCCGACGTGTTCCGGTGATTGAAGAGTTATTCGTTGCCCCTCGTCGAAGTATCGTGTCATCGATGGCGATATCGAATATTTCCTAAAATTTCAAGACGTAGTTATCCGTTAAGGCAATTTTAAGTTCAAAATATTTAACTTATACAGCCACCCACTTGTTTTCCAACATGATAATACCCGAACATAGGTGCGTTGTTTATGGTGCCGATTGGTACTGCGCGACTTTAACACGCATCATGATCTTTAGTAGTCAAACGATGGTAGGAGGATGGACCTGGCGGAACAGATAGACGATTCGACATTCTACATCATTTATGACGAAGGCTCCATCAGAATAGTAGCAATTCTAACAGCTCGCCTGATATCACCATCAGTGATGGAAGGCTCATAAAGAGCACAACCTGATGACCTTTGCAAACTTTCCCATCAGACCATCTATTAATCTCGACCGAAACATTCCCTGACTTTATTTCTGAGGAAAATTGCACCTACGTTAACTTCAACAAATCTAACTGCGTCAGCTTCGCATAATTCACTCAGAGCTCCTTCACCATTCTTGTGACGAACGTCAATTAAGACAGGTGATCGTTGCTGCTACTGCTCGCTACATTTCCCCTGTTAGAATTTAAAGGAAAATTTCCCAGAATACAGCTCCTCATACCAGATTTATTTCTGAAATCCATTAGCGGACCAAATAGGTGGAGCACCTGAAGTCATGTAATCTCTTCATCGGACTGAGAAAACTTTGTACTACTCTAAATTAACTGTCTGATCTTAAGAGTCCTGTCAATATATCACTCGACGTCCGTCTCTTCTCGTATCCGAAGAAGTGCGCGAACTAAAAGACTGTGAATCACTTGCTTTCCCCCACGAGGATGTTTATAGTGCCAACATCAAAACGAAAACATCTAAACACATCGGTCTTGACGGTATAAATATGTTCCCGATAACTCTCCTTTATCCGTTCGTAAAAACATTTGAGAACTGGCTACTAACGACTTGCACACACCTTCTAAGCTACACAGCTTCCGTAAAGTGCACAGATAGCTTGTGGTCTTAACCAGAACCCCCCTGTGAGAGGACTGCCTTCATAGCGTTGGAATTGTCAAAAGCTTTTGATACAGTCAACCATACATCGCTTGATAACATCAAACAAACCATGCTCTCGCCAGAATTGAAGAGGTGAACAATGAACTATGTGAGCGGTCGACAATCATCGATATTATTTTGATATGAATAATCTAAATTAATTACTACATTTCGAAGCTCTCGAAACCACCAGAAGGAGTTTCTGTTACCTTATGAATAGATGATTCTACAATAACGACGTCGGGCAATAGAATTGATGGCATGTGCTTATCGCCTATCTATACAAACTTTCTTCACTACAAGGATTCAAAAACCCTGAACTGTCAAATCCATAACCACTTTATATACAAACTGGACGAAGGAGTACAGACTAGAACTACACATTTCCGTTGATGATCCAAATTTCGACGATGAGCAACCAGACAGTTCTAGGTATCACATTCGTTAGTATCCACTCTTTCACTCTTCCTACAACAGCGATAACTGCCAAATTATAGAGCCGCAACAAAACCCTCAAGTTGATAGTTGGCATCAAAACATAGAAATCTTGGTCGGCCGGTCATAAACTACGTCGCATCGATAAATTCGCCGTGTAGTGAAACGCAGACGCCCATGTCAAAATACTGCACTCTAAACGATTAAAGATTCCTCTTGATGTGTCTGGTTGATCCTCTCAAAATAGTTTCTGATCGGACAACATTCCTCTAGTCCCCTGCTTCAGACATATGGAGAATATTTTTCCAATAGGTTTATGAACTATACCGATCAAATTTCGGACGCGACCAATTTCTGACATTCACTGAACACCATTTACAGTGGAGCTATTAACACATTCCTTGACTCCCCCCAGTGAATGGCGTAAGTGGAGTCCCAACACCACCTATTGCAGAAAAAGTACTCCGATTTGCGCCGTAAACGGGACTCTATCTAAACCCCTTAACGAGAATAGACACTAACAAACAAAACCTATGTCCGGCATGCAATGAGTCCCCGCATGACACTATTCGCCTATTTGTATGCCCAACTCTCATAACTCATCTCCCCTCTTAACCTGCAGAAGCAGCTCTTTTTCTGAGCTTATTGTTAAGTGATTTCGATGACAGTCAACTTATTACTTTCCTCCAAACAGTGCCTAGATAATCGTTACGACAGCAACAACAGCACCAAAAAATTTAACGTGTTTAGCATGACAACAATGGCATCACAAAAAACATTCATACTTGTTTAAAACCCGATGCGAATTAAATATTTTATAAATGGTAATTTTTGAAAAAATTTTAATTATCGATAAAAAAAAACTTGTTTAATATATAGTAATTAAAGGAATTTACGATTTAAAGTAATGAAGTTGTATACAATTCCGTTTAACTAATGATTTTTAGCACCACGTCCAAAGAAACTGTTGATTGGATGAAATAAATTACAAAATTTGGCAAGATATCTACACAACATTTATTGCCATTATCACCGATGAAAGACCTCAAAACTCTTTGTGAAAAAATAATTAACGCTGTATATTTAAAGTCCGTCACTGCTTAAAATCTGATTTTGGTTTATTTAAAAATAAAACTCAAAGTATTACTTTAAAATTATCACCTTTAAATACTAATTGTACTAAAATGTAAGAAGGTAAATGCATATTCTTCAAAAAATCTTAAAAATATATATTATTCACAAGTATTTTTGGTTTTTATAAATTCTACACCTGAGCTGCTACAACTTAAGATGAGTTCCATTTTGACGACAAGCGGGTGTACGTAATCGGAATGAACCTGGCTTTATAACTATATCAGTAAAATGATTAAAAAGTTGACAGAAGGGAAGATGTTATAAAATATAAAGAATTTATATTGGAACAAAATTTGAAACTTGTAAATTACCTAGATATACTGATATCTTAAAATTTAATTTGGAAGATTTTGATGTTTTGCATTTATTTGACGGTTACTGTTTTTGCTGCAAAGTGCGCCTGTTGGTATGTTTTAGTATAACAACCACTCAACATCCAAGCGGTTTTAGTTTACTTTCTATTTTTCTGATGCCACACATATAATTTATTCATACCGTCGAGAAAGATATTTACCAAATACAGTTTACTATTAAACTAAGAAGGTACGCTGCTGAGGCATACTTGGTGTATTCGTATACCAAACAAGATATACTTTTCAGTTTGTAATAAAATTATAAAGCACGATATTATACACTAAACTTTCCACCACGAAACAACCCCAAAACTACAAGTGCGTGTGTGAAAAAATGTATCAACTGCAATTGATATTAGCATACATCAGCTCCTTTATATATTAACTGTTGTTAAGTACTGCATATACCATAAATTTAATGAAATTGTTTCTTTCAATGCTTTTACTGCAATTTATTTCCTCATATGTTACCGTTGCTTTGTATTTAGTTGACCTTCGTTGCATTGTGTCCTTTGCATTGTGCATATCAATAGTCTTTCACACGTTACATTTTTTTCCCACGTACACATTATTTTCACAAATGATTGTACAATAACACTACATGTTTCAAGCTTTTAACAAAAATGTTTACAAAATCTCAATATTTAAATTTGAAAAAATAAAATGCTTCTTATCGCACAATCTACATAGTTGGCGTCGCCGCAGCAATTCGCGTTAAATGCTTTGAGAAGGGTAACAAGTAGGTGTATATACAACGTGTTATGGCAAACGATCCTAGAAAAATGGGGATTTGTGCGAACTTTATTAAATACCATTACATCACGAGTATGAGCCTGTATACGAAAAGTGACTAGAGATTATAACGGTGTTGCCACTAAATATTCGCTGGTTTGAAAAGAGAGAACTTGTCTGTTTAAAAATGTTAGAAGGTTATAAAATAATTTACGAAATTGAACTAAACCTACATACATATATCCGATATATATAAATGAGATATACATCCAAATTTCCTTAAAATTTTAATTAATTTCAAACAAAAATTAAACCATTCTCTAAACTTGGCTAATAATATGTGGTGCTGTGATTACAATTTTGTAATCGTCGTATCACCAACTATCGATTAATAACCCGGTTAATAACGCAACAGTGCTACCTGAGATTTCTGTTAAAGTTGCAATGAGTTTATTACCATTATGAACGCGAAAACCTGATGAGTTTCACGATATGTTTTCGTTAGTTTCCACGCTAATTCTTTGAATGTATTAGAATTCCGATAGCCGAGACTTGTTGCTATGTTTCTTGTTTGTTAATTCTTTGATTATTCCTATATACATATACAGTAAGTGATGTTATACAACCCACGATAACTTATCATATTTTAGTGGGCTAGAATAGCATAGAAAATGCCTTGAGGATAGCACCGCGAGCTAGAGTCTATTGCCGTCATTTAAAAATTATTACGATTAAATTTTTTTTATTAAAATGATGGTAACCGCAAGATGTTTGGGTTAGAACTTAATCAAAGAAACCGACTTTATATTATATTTGCCTGAAAGTGACATTATAGAGGGTCTTAAGACGCACGGCGTAACCTCTATATATAAGTTTAATAGAATAATTGATGGTGTATCTAARCCTACTGGCTCAATTCTCTTATCATTTGATAAATATCATCTTCCCGAAAAAATTGAAGTCGCATGGAGAATCCTTTCTGTCCGTCCATACATCCCAAATTCCATGAGATGCAAGTCGTGTCAAAAACTTGGTCATACAACAAAATACTGCAAAAATTTCCCAATGTGTAACAATTGCTACCTCCCTCCCCACTCCCCTACCGAATGTATAAGAACAATGTGCGCTAACTGCTCTGGAGAGCATCCGTCCTCCTCAAACGCTTGTCCAAAATTTCTACAAACTAAAGAAATACTACGTATTAAAACATTAGAAAAATGCAGCATGCACGAAGCAATACAAAAATACAATCCCGGCTCCCCTTAACCCTTCATCATTTGCCAATGTGTTAAAGCCTCCCGAATTCCACAAAAACGAAAAACCAAAATCAACTGCAGACTCAAACGAAAATAAGTCCCCTTCCAACCCCGCAAACTCCTCACTAACCATCAATAACAACTCATTACATACATACTCAGCCAAACCATCATCTTCCACAAAGAACATCTTGTCTCCACTTAACTCTCACACTGCTGACCTTTATCCGCAATTGATTTAACAAAAACCCAACAGCAACCAACGCAACCGTTGATAATCCACTCTCTCAAAATAATTGCAATATGTATCTTTCTGACTCTCCCAACTTAACAGACATACTCTCGCGCTCACTTTCCTCTCCCCTTCCTATCCCTCTTTCCTCTCATGTGTGGAACACAATGCTAGCGACAGACTGCAGCAGCACGACAGCGAACTGAAAATGGCGTTGTGAATCCTACTACAAGAACGTTTGTGAGAGGGCAGCAACATAACAATAGCCGGCATGTACACAAAACAACTCAGTTGTCCATTTTGCATGTAGACAACTTCGTTGTGGCCATACTAATACCTTGCACTTCAATGAAATTTTAATATTTTGTTCAAAGTGAAATTTTTAAGCAAAAAATAAGTAAATAGGTAAATAGGCGAGCATTGTATTCCACACATCAATCTCCAACTAATAAACACGATGACTCAATTACGCTTTCCCCACCTTCGCATCCAGCAGAAACTAATAATATTTGTAGCAATATACTTAACAAAACCAAATACCAGTTTTCTTTTCTCTTTTGTGCATATGTTTGTAGCTTTACAGTGGAATATAAACGGATATTACAATAATTTCATCGATCTTGAAATATTAATTAAATCACACAATCCCTCTGTAATTCTTTTAAACGAAACCCACCTCCCCTACATGGTCAACGCTCGCACCCCTTTGGCCTATGTTGGATACTTTCATAATTTGCCACATATTTTATCTAGTAAGCAAGGAATTGGTATCTTAGTGAAGAAAAATGTCCCGCACAAATGTTACCGTCTCCAGTCCCGCATCTCTTCCTTGGTATTAGAAATTCAATCGCCCAATACAATATCCATTGTCTGCGCCTACTCCTGATCAAGCATTTTCAACTACTGACTTTTATAGTATTTTTCCGTCAACTGATAGTCCTTTTATTTTGGCAGGCGATTTTAACGCCTGCAGCCCTATGTGGGGTTCCACTTCGCTGAATGCTAAGGGCCGTGTAATTGAAGATTCAATCCTTGCCTCCAACTCCTTTGTCCTTARTAACGGCTCCCCGACTCACTTCTCTACTCACAAATCCTTCACCCACCTTGACCTCACCATATGTTCGATTTCCCTTTCTACCAAATGCACTTGGCTAGTAATTGATGACCTCCAAGGCAGTGATCATATCCCCATTATTACCAGACTCCCTTCAAACCGTCTTTCTTCAACATTTCGCCCGAGGATGAAATACCAAACTGACTCTGCTGATTGGTTAAAGTTCCAAGATACGTGTCTACATGGTTGCAGCTCCTATCCCATTTCCCTCAACGTCAACGAAGAAGCGTCCCGCGTC